TAATCAAAGATTTTTGTGTGCAACAAATATCTAGAATACAAATGTGAAATTTAATTTTAGTTAGTAACAGATATTTGTGTTTTTAAGTTTGCAAACAAAGAATTAAATTCCAAGAGGAAGTGGCTATGCATAATTGCAAAAGATATCTCACATACAGTAAGCCAAAAGCAAACATTTAATTGAGCCTTTGAAAAGAAATAGACTCTATTGCTTGTTAACAATACTAGTAAATTTGTATTGCATCAACTTAAGAATAAATAATATAAAATGAGAAATCAGTAGACTTTTGATATTAAAAAATACATTAATGCCTCATTCAAGAAAGATGATGATTTTCAAAACTAAACTATTCCTGGTTTGAGATCTAATAAAATTTAATACTTTCATTATCAAAGTCCATGCTAAAATGCCCTCCCCCCTTTTTTAGTTTAGTTTTGTGGCTGGTTTATAGACTATTCAAACTCTTCACTTATAATGGTCAAACTAGAATATTATATTGAAATCCACATGTAAAAATTTTAAGCTTATTTTTTTTGTAATTATGAAATTATTTAGGCTTTTCCTAATATATATATATAATCTATTAGTAATCAATTAATTTCTAAAACCAATTTTAAATAGCTAATTTAGTAATAAGCTAACTTGAAGATGATGTATAGATTGCTTTCCTTCATAAACCTTACCTTGTCAAACAAATTGAGGGCAAAAATAAAAATATTGAAAGTTCTTCTGGAGATGAATTAATCCATGATGAGTGTAACTACATCTCTTATTTCCTCATGGTATTTTTTTTTTACTTTGGAAAAAGACTGAAAACTATATCAACTAGCCATACCTTAGTGATCACTAATTAATATCACTAATTACAGAAAAAAATAACAATTATTTCAAATAGTTATAGATTATAAATAAATTTAACTTGAAACTATTATTTAATGATGCATTGTTTAGCAGAAATCTATTTCATTGCAATCTTCCTAGAAATTATAGCCTTAAATTGTTTAAGTTAGTTTGCCAATAACCTTTTAACCTTTCATTTTATAAGTAACTTTTTTTAAATTAAATTTTGCTCTTATTTGAAAATCATTTGTATGTCTGCTTGGTTTATATCCTATTGCCCTAACACAGCATATTTCTCTAGAGCAGCGGTTCTCAACCTGTGGGTCGCGAACATCGGAAAACACATGTAGCATATCAGATACTTACATTACAATTCATAACAGTAGCAAAATTACAGTTATGAAGTAGCAACGAAAATAATTTTATGGTTGGGGGTCACCACAGCATGAGGAACTGTATTAAAGGGTCGCGGCATTAGGAAGGTTGAGAACCACTGCTAGAGAGTATGTAATATTTTTTGAGAAAATGAAAAGATGAAAGAGAACTGTTTATTCCTCAGATATCTGATAAGAATAAGATTTATTTGAAAATATTAATTGATGGTGGGCTTTAAATTAATAGTATTCTTCTTCAACAGATGACTTATTCTCCATATGGCAATGATGTGATTTAAATACTCCAGAATATCATTGTAGTACTCAAATAACTGCATAGTAGGTATTGGCTTGTTTGTTTCATTTTTTGAAAGATGATTATTGAGCCATCATATATGCTTTTTAATATGTTTGTATTGATTTCAGAGAGGAAAGGAGGGAGAGAGAGAGAAACATCAATAATGAAGAAGAATCATTGATTGGCTGCCTCCTGCACGCCCTCTACTGGGGATTGCACCCACAACCTGGGCATGTGCCCTTCACCAGAATCGAACCCGGGACCCTTCAGTCAGCAGGCCGAGGCTCTATCCACTGAGCCAAACTGGCTAGGGCAAGCCACTATATTTTTAATAAGCAAACCAAAGTATTAGATTCTTAGACCTCTCTTCTCTTTTCCCACTAAAAGACTATCCCAAACCTTCAGGTTCCTTCTCTAGCCTCTTTGTGCTCTCTTCCTGCAGCTGCCAAGACCACCTGCTTCAGAATCCATACTTTCCCACGGTTCTCCTCCCATTTCCCATCCTCATGCCAGCCTCCCTTGTATAACCCTAATATTTCTATACTAAGATGTGGTATAATGAGATTAATAGCTAGCATTTAGCCAGACACTGGGTTCAGTGCTTTATAAACATAATCTCATTAAGTTTTCACAACAGCCCTATGAGGTGTGTGCTATTATAAGGGTCATTTACAGATGATGACTTATATGGTATATATCCCTGGGTTTGAATCTCAGCTCTGCCACATATTAACTGCGTGGTATCAAGCAAGTTATTTTACCTTTCTGAGTTTCTTCCTCATTGGTAATTCTGAGAGTCATAGCATACTAGTGCTGAATTTGCAAAATGTTGATGGTCAAGGGAATCATTAGAAATGACACATTTTAGGATGTGGGGTAATGCTAATAGTTTACATATTTAAGCTCTATAAACCTGAGTCAAGTTTCATCATGGCCTCTTGCTAACACCCAACTGCTGGCAATTTTATTTCCTATTATATCCCTCATATCCTGGAATTGTTCCACAGCCATCTTGCAGTTTAGATCACATACATTTCTCATGAACTAGTGCGTTAGCTTTGAAAATTGTCTCCCTGTCTTTGATTTGTGCACTGATGACAGAATTATGGTCCCCCAATATGTTCAGAAAATAAAAGCAGATTTTAGCAGAGCATACATGACCTTTCACAATCTTTATTTCTCTAGCCTTACCTTCCATCTCTTGCTTCTCTGATCCATGCCCCAATGCACTTCACTGTAAAGCTTGTGGACACAGTGTTCTTCCATCTGTCTTGAAAACTTCCTACCTCTACCCCATTTTTATCTAACTGTCTTAGTCATTTTTCAAGGATCATCTCAAATTCATCTTCTCTTTGAAGCATCCCAGTTCCCTTTATTCCTACACCAACAAATATTTCAGGTTTTAATAACTGATTCCTTGACAGTTTTTATTATTTAATCATTTTTGTGTTCCTATCTCCTGGAACTTAGAAGGAACTTAAAAACAATAATAAAAACAATTAGAGTATTAATTAGTTGAAATGGCACTATGAAAAGGTCAAATATTATAAATTATCCTTCCTTACAGCATTTATACTATTAAAATTACCCCTGCTGTTGGACCATTGATTAACTTATCAGGAAATGAACAAAAGAAATACCGCACCCGGACTTTAAGTTAAAAACAAAGTATTTGCCTACAGTGAAAGAAAATATAGATATTTCATGCTACAAATATTTAAATAGGATCTGCACTGACTTGTTGTGTGTTTGCACATCTACGTTTTCATTGACACAGTTTCCAATATGTGGGGCTTGTGGACAGATCAGCACAAGACATCTCCTCCTACCATTCTGTGCAAACATGACTGTGGGCGTCCTTGATTCGTTGCTTAGACACTTTGTTTTCTGTGTTCTAACTCTTTCACATGAACTCCTTGCTGTGGTCTAAATGTGTGCGTCCCTCAAATTCACGTTGCAATCCATACACCCACTGTGATGGTGTTAGAAGATGGGACTTTTAGGAGGTGATTAGGACACAATGAATTCCTCATGAATGGGATTGGCACTCTTATAAAAGAGATCCCACAGCCCTGGCCGGTATTGCTCAGTGGATAGAGCGTCCACCTGTGGACTGAAGGGTCCCAGGTTCGATTCTGGTCAGGGGCATGTGCCTTGGTTGCAGGCACATCCCCGGTGGGGGACGTCAGGAGGCAGCTGATCGATGTTTCTCTCTCATCGATGTTTCTAGCTCTCTATCCCTCTCCCTTCCTCTCTGTAAAAAATCAATAAAATATATTAAAAAAAAAGAGAGAGATCCCACATTGTACTCTAGCCCCTTTCACCAAATGAAGATAGAAGAAGTTTGAGACCTGGAACAGGGGTCTCACCCAGCCATACTGGCAAACTGATCTTGACTTCTGGCCTCCAGAACTATGATAATTTTTTTTTTTTTTTTTTTTTTTTTTTTTTTTACTTATAAGCTTCCTAGTCTGTGGTATTTTGTTTTAGTAGACCAAATGGAATAACACACTGCTGTTTTGAAGTTACTGTGAACATCTTCCTTACCAAATTGGTTGTCTTTAAGAGTACTGAATTCTCACTTTATTTTATTTTTTTTTACTTCTGTACCATGTAACACCATTTAGAAATTTCTTCTCCTATCAGTTTCTATAAGAACCTGTTTTTATTATCTTCTCATTTTGTAAAAGTATGCTTTAAAAAAAGTCCAAATTTCTAAACATATCATTCTCTCCCCAGAAAATTTTAAAACATTGCTATGTAATAAAGCAACAAAAAAACAATGGGGTGTTGGTTTTTTCATAGAAGTTTTAGGAAAATTGGCATGGGGAAAAATTAGTTAAAACAACCTTAAGTTAGTTCCTTTCCTTATACTCTGTACCCTAATATAAATAAATTAAATAATTTAATCTATTCATTCATTCAACAAATATCTTCTGAGTACCTACTATGTGCTAGACTATGGGGTTATGATGATATACAAGACCTATTCTCTTCACATAAAGACCTCAGAGACTACATAGGTAGAAAGACATGTCAAGAAGAAAATAGGCAAAAATTGAGGTCAGGCAACAGCAAGACCTCAAGAGGAGCTGACTTTATTCTGGCAAAGAGTAGGGACATGAAGAGAGAAAGGAAAGGAGAAAAGAGTGTTAAGACTGGAAACCAAATAAAATATTTTACTTTCTGAAAATTGCAAAAAGTTGAGAAAAGCAGCTATTGACATACTATAAAAATTCCTCTAGGTCTCAACTGTCTAGCCAAAAAATGCAGATAGAGAAAGACAGGTACAGTTTCAAGATAATGTCAATATGTTCTTATATTGAGAGGGCAGAAGGGAATGTGATATTGACCACTGGTATGAGAAGGAAAAAGTACAAATAAACAACGTTAGGCAGCAGAATCATTTAAAATTGTTACTATGGCAAGTGTTGTAGTAAAATTTTTGCTTATCTTTTCAGAACCATCAGTATCTTGGGAGGAAAAGAATGTTAAGGAAAAGCAAATCATTAATTTTAAAATACTTTCTTAACCTCATTAATGGAGCTTTCCTGGTAAGATTCTTCAAAATTATTTAGTCTAGAAAAAATGCAATGAATTTTTATTAGCAATTATTAAAAATCACATTGACTTTTTTTGTAGGTTCTTGGACTTTTACTCATAGGATTTGCTGCATGGCTTTTATTGGATAGAAATAATTTTTTAACTGCTCTAAGTACGTACCTATTTTCATTTTTCTCTCTGAATTAAACAAGGCATTCCATTTTGAACAATTGCAGGCATGATTTATTCAGCAGCTGGCCATAGTTCTCTAAAATTCCGGGGGTTTTTTCCTCTAAAGGTCTTTGTCATTTGGTTTTAGAAACAGCTTATTAAATGGCAGGGCTTAAATCCAAGACCATAAAGTAGAGAAAGTTTTGAGAGAGAAAACTAGGAATTTTGGACAAGAGGAATGAGAGAATTGGAAGATTATAATTATTCTACTAACTCTGGCACCTTTACAAGGTAAACTTGAAAAGATAATGGAGATCAACATAGATTCACTGCCCAAGTTAACTATTCTCTTCTATTCTCATCACCACATGGTTAGAAATAAAATATATTTCCTATACAACCAACATAAGTGTCCATCGGTGGGTAAATAGATAAAGAAGATGGGAGATAGATGATAGATAGATGATGATGATAGATGATAGATAGATAGATAGATAGATGATAGATAGATAGTAAAAAAGAAGAAAGAAAGAAAGAAAGAAAGAAAGAAAGAAAGAAAGAAAGAAAGAAAGAAAGATTATTCAGCCATGAGAAAGAAGGAAATTCTACGATTTGTGACATAATGGATGGACCTTGAAAATATTATACTAAGTGATATAGACAGACAGAGAAGGACAAATACTGTATGATATGACTTATATGTAGAATTTTTAAAAACTTTGTAAAAACAGAGTATAATGGTAGTTATCAGGGCTAAGGAGTGGTGGAATTACAGATATATTGTTTAAGGGTACAAACTTATAATTAGTAGATAAATAAATTCTGGCAATTTTATGCACAACATAGTAATTATAGTCAACAACACTGTATTATAATTCAAAGTTACTAAAGGACTAAAGCTTAACTATTCACAATACCAAAAGAAATTTAAAAAAATGTGATAGGCTAAAGGCATTAGTTAAGGCTACTATAATAATCACTTTGTAGTGTATAAATGTACCAAGCCAACACATTGCACACTTTAAACTTACACAATGTTTTATGCCAATTTTATTTCAATACCAATATTTCCCATATAATTTTGAACTTGAGGTCAAAAGACTCTAGGATTAACCTCACCTCAGGTGTCCAAGATTGTGAAACAGAGAACCTATCAGCAGCCATATTTTATCTTATGAATTGAAACACAGCAGCAGCTGGTCTGGAGGAAAAAGTAAGTGGAATCAGATTCCAGAGAGAGACAGAGATAAGAGAGAGACATCATACTTTCCCCAGTGTGTTTGTTCAGATATTTTGTGCATGTCTCTAGTATTTATTAAATATATTTTAATATATAATATTTTTTATGTTTACATATTTATGTAAATACTAGAGGCCCAGTGCACAAAAATTTGTGCACTCGGAGAGGTCCCTCAGCCTGGCCTGTGCCCTCTCGCAGTCTGGGACCCCTTGGGGGATGTCCACCTGCTGACTTAGGCCCGCTCCCCGAGGGAGCGGGCCTAAGCTGGCAGTCAGATATCCCTCTGGCAGCCCAGGAGCCTTCGGGGGATGTCCACTTGCCAGTGGGGAGCAGGCCTAAGCTGAAGTTGGACATCCTTACCGCTGCTGAGGAGGCGGGAGAGGCTCCCGCCACCACCTCTGTGCTGGCAGCCATCAGCCTGGCTGAGCAGAGCTCCCCCTGTGGGAGCACACTGACCACCAGGGGGCAGCTTCTATCTGCCCCCTGGTGGTCAGTGTGTGTCATAGTGACCAGTCATTCCCAGTGGTTCTGCTGTTAGGGTCAATTTGCATAATACCCTTTTATTATATAGGATATATTTAAAATATTTTCTAAATATAAATACAGTAATTGAATACATTTAACTTCATTTTTTAAATGTTAGATCTTTACATTGTCCTTATTTTACCATATCATGGTATGCTGTGGTCACTATGGACCGAAGTTTAATAGCCTAAGGATTATTTTCATATAAACGTACTCAGTTGGCAGAAAGAAGCCACATTTCAAGTACTCAGTGACCATATGTGTCTATGGGGTATTGTCTACCTTATTGGAAATAGCAGATGTAGAACTTTTCTTTCATTTCATTAAGTTCTACTGGACAGCACTGTTAATTATTAAATATATGGCAAAACCATCTACTATAAGAGCCAACCTATTTCTTAGTGGATATCAAGTAAGAAAAAAACATGTTTATAGAAAAAAAATAAAGCTAAATAAAAAGGTTTAATATGTAATACAGTGCTACAAAGTATTGAATCATTTAGCTAAACTTCAGCTATTCCTAAGTGCTTAGTATCTTTATTCTCTTCTTTTTGTATAATACTTTGCTTATGGAAAAGTATTCATGATGTCTGAGTGCATTAGGGATTTGCTCAGAGTAAGCAAATGGGTGTATGGACCTTTCTATTTCTCTTTTGCTTCACCATAATAATGACAATAGTCATTTCCACTTATGTAATACTGACTGTGCCAGACACGGGGCAGAGCACTAATTTAATAATGTAGTAATTGTGTGCAGCAACTCATTTTTTCATTTTCCCCCTCCATTTTGGACTTGACAGATAATTCTCATTAACCCTAATGTCCTTACTTATGAAAAACCCCTGCAAAGGTAGCCAGAAACTATTCTTTAAGGTTTTGTTTCATCCAAAATGGATATTTAATGTAACAAACAAGAGAGAGATTGCTGTGTCATTCAGAAACCCCAGTTCTTTCTATATTGCTGCTCTGCTATTTCCTAAAGTTGTCTTCGACTGGCTCAACACCAGGTTTGCTTTCTAGCATGTGAGATGTGCAAGAGAGAAGTAGAAGGCAAGTGATTTTCTTATTTAAAGAGGGAAGGCTAGGGTTGCATACTTTATCCGTGTGTTTAAAATAGTAAAATCTCAATTATGGTTTCAGGATGTGGAATTGAAAACCATTTGTTTTCTTCTTTTAAATATATTTTTATTGATTTTTTACAGAGGAAGGGAGAGGGATAGAGAGTTAGAAACATCGATGAGAGAGAAACATCGACCAGCTGCCTCCTGCACACCTCCTACTGGGGATGTGCCTGCAACCAAGGTACATGCCCTTGACCGGAATCGAACCTGGGACCCTTCAGTCCGCAGGCCGATGCTCTATCCACCGAGCCAAACTGGTTTTGGCTTGAAAACCATTTTGAGACAAGAAATGTTGGGCTCTCCCCTCTTTGTTATCCTATCTTTCAATTAATTTACCTATTTTTAAAGTATTCTGCCCTCACCTCTCCATCTGTAATAACACCATGTCACCTAAAGTCCTCAACTGCCTTTGGCCACTGCAATGGCCTCTAATAGCCTTGTGCTCTGATCTCCTTTCTCAGCCATCTTCCGAATGCCACTGAAGTAATTCACTTAAAAGGCAAATTTAGCTGTGTAACATGAAAAGCCTTTCTCTGGCTCCCATTGCCATTATTTATCCAATGACAAATATACTTATAGAGCATATTTTATATGTTGGATGCTATTGTGAACTGAGGATACAGTTGTATACAAGAAAGATAAAGGTCCTGTCCTCATGGATTTTAATTCTGGTGAAGAGGACTAGAAAACACCACATAACATATCCATTATATGTTCTTTGCCAAACCTCCCCAGTCTCACCATCCTCAAACAGTAAGCACCAGCAAAGCAGGGTTTCCTATACGCTGTTCTGAGCCTCCAGATGCTTCTACTGTTCCACTGTAGATATTTCTAATGATCATTTAAAGCCAAAACTCAGGTGTTACCTTCTCCCCACCCCCTACTGGATTAGGTGCTCTTGTACCCAAAAGTATGCTGCTAAATGTTTAACAGGTTTTGGGATGGAGAGTTTTGATTGATGATATTTGTTGATGTCTATGGTTTTACCACTACCACAATGGCCAGTTTTAAAGTGCCAATGTGAAGTGAGTTGGCTTTCATATTTTTCAAACAATTAACAGTTGCCTTTTTCCTCCTCACCCAAGGATATGCTTTATTGATTTTTGAGAGAGAGAGAGAGAGAGAGAGAGAGAGAGAGAGAGAAGTAGAGATACATTTATATGAGAGAGAAACATCAATTGGTTGCCTCTCATACCTGCTGGACTGGCGATCGAATCTGCAACCTTTCTTTGTGTATGGATGACACTCCAACCACCTGGCCAGGGCAACAGTGCCTTTCATGAGCCAGAGCAAGTGGTTCCAGCACACCACTGCCTGTCCCATAGAACCTATGGCATATTTTATATATTTATTCTTCTTGCTTTTAAATAAATATTTACTGAGCAATTAGTGTTCTACAGTCTGCGCCATAGCATTAAGCATTTAACAGTTAATTTATTGAATATATATATATATATATATTAGAGGCCCTGTGCATGAAATTCGTGCACTGGGGGGGGGGGGCCCTCAGCCCAGATTGTGAAAGGGCACAGACCCCACTGAGGGACCCCACCAGTTTACAATTGGGGTGGGGGAGGGATGCAGGAGGTTGGCCAACCGGGGAGGAACCATGGGAGGGCCCCTGGGCGTGTCTAGCCCATCTAGCTCAGTCCCAATTAGCCGCACCCCAGCAGCAACTAACCTACCAGTTGGAGCATCTGCCCCCTGGTGGTCAGTGCACATCATAGTGAGTGGTTGAGCAGCCTTAGCATATCATTAGCATATTAGTCTTTTATTGGTTGAATGGCCGACCAGACAACTGGACACTTAGCATATTAGGCTGTTATTATATAGGATATTCCTCTAGTACAGAAAGCTCAATCTAGATGTAGAGAGAATAAAATATAGCTTTAATAGGGCCATATTAGCAATAAACTCAGGGTAGCTTTTGTACATAATTTAGGTACTTAAATTTTTTTTATAAATAAATAAATAAATGCATATTTGAATGTGCATTAGTTGTAGAAAAGTTCATCTTAGTGAAACATGGAAATTAAACTGGAATGCATAGTTTTTCCTCTGGGCAGGATGCAAAAGTGATTTCCTGGGTTCTTATCCAGGTGGATTCAAAGAATGAAGCCACAGACAAAAGGTAGTATAGGAAAAGGTGGAAATTTATTGGGAAACAACCACATGGGGAGGGGGGAGAGACCCAATAAGTCCCTCTTTCTTAAGGTTTATAAAGGCTGCAGTTCTTTGTGTCCTGATATCCCCTCTGATTGGTCACTATAGCAGTTTCAGAGCTCAAACCCCACAGTGGGGTTCTGTTCTTTTTCTCCCATTTGTTTTTCTATTCCCTGTTGCCTTCCTCTTTATTCTGTAAATGAGTGGCTTCCTCTCCCCCTTTTTTCTGTAAAGGTATCCCTTTTGGCAGATCCCAGCACCCTTATTCTGTGAATGTATGCCTTCTGCAGCTCCCAGCTTTGCAGCCCTGCGGTTCTCCCCCATGGACCCACTAATTCCTAAAACTCCCTAACCCTGCCTATTTTACCCCTAACAACTCCATTCATTAGGGGAAAAATGCTTATTTTTATGTAAGATAATTAACATAAGGCAAAGGTAAAGATTTCTTCAGAAATTGAAGAAATTCTCCATCATGCCATTAAAAGAAGAAAAGTTGTTTCTACAAGTAAGTAAGAGGGTCTAGAAAGAAGTTTTAAAAATAGTGAGAAGGGCCCTGATCGGTTTGGCTCAGCGGATAGAGCGTCAGCCTGCGGACGCAAGGGTCCCAGGTTCGATTCTGGTCAAGGGCATGTACCTTGGTTGCAAGCACATCCTCAGTGGGGAGTGTGCAGGAGGCAGCTGATCAATGTTCCTCCCTCATCGATGTTTCTAACTCTCTATCCCTCTCCCTTCCTCTCTGTAAAAAATCAATCAAATATACTTAAAAAAAAAAAGAGTGAGAAGGAATCCTAGTAACTTGGCGATAGTTGCTTAGAGAAAATTTGGGTTGCTGCATTTATTACTAAATAGAAAACAAATATTACTTAACAATAAATTATTTTATTATTTCCACAGATGAAAGTAATCACTTGATAGTATATATTTTTGGAATTTTAATTGGAACTGGATCAGCTATTGTTCTTCTTTTTCTCTTGGGTTATTTGGGAATTCAATATGAAATCAGATGGCTCCTAGTTCTGGTATGTATTTCATTTCAATAGCCTGACAGTGTATTTTTGATTTGAATCTCCAAGTCACACAGTTGAACTGAATTATTTATGTTATCACAGCATTTCAGTACAGTGTGCTCTTGGGCATAAGGCAAATAAATCCACCCCTTCCAAGAAAGGGTTCTAGGTAGAATCTGAGGGGAGAGTTTTCCATGGATCAAATCTATACCTCAATTTTTGTGCCCTTAGATAATTAATTTTTAGTACAAAGTCAATAGGGATCTGTTTTTTAAGGTGACCTACAATTAACTAACATAGGAATGTGAAGATTAATATCAGTATAAACTATATTAAAGTCAACAAGCATTGTAGCTTAGCATGCAAAAGGAAACATATCCTGTAGTCAGCACATTTTCTCCTTGTGCGCATGCCATGTAGGAAACTGACTTATAACTGAGATCAAAATTAATTATTTAACAAAGAGAAATGTAACTGCTGAGAAGAGCAAACTCTAGCCTCTGGCTAGTATTCTCTCTCCCAAGACATAACATGAAAATATAAATTATAAACCGAACATGAGCTATTTACCATACATGTGGTAGCTATAGATCACAGCTGACACACTTAGATGGACTATAGTGTTTAACATTTCTTTTAAATCTAATTAATTTTAATTCACAGGCACTCTCCTGTCAAGAAAATAAATAAGAAATTTAACTGCAGTCATTGTGTCTTGCTGGGAAGAATGCAGAAATACTTACCTTTCCTGTAGCACTAAAGGTCTGGGTGGTCATTCTAGACCGGTGGTTCTCAACCTTCCTAATGCCGCGACCCTTTAATACAGTTCCTCATGTTGTGGTGACCCCAACCATAAAATTATTTTCGTTGCTACTTCATAACTGTAATTTTGCTACTGTTATGAATTGTAATGTAAATATCTGATATGCAGGGTGTATTTTCATTGTTACAAATTGAACATAATTAAAGCATAGTGATTAATCACAAAAACAATATGTAATTATATATGTGTTTTCCGATGGTCTTAGGTGACCCCGTGAAAGAGTCATTTGACCCCCAAAGGGGTCGCAACCCACAGGTTGAGAACCGCTGCTCTAGACACTGATTTTCAGTATACACTGGTCAAAGGAATTGACTAATTGAATTTCCTTCTGTGACAGTTTTAGATCTGAATGAAGACAGTGTCAACAACATCACCTTAGACCACGTAACCTGTGAGGGTTCTACCACTTCCTTCTTTCTTCCTCCTATCCAAATGTTCATTGATATATATATTTGTTGCTGTTTTGTTTGAATAATTTTGATATTATATATGAGAACAGGAAATGTCAGCAATACCTATGTATATTTTAAGACTGTTTCATATGGTGTACACCTTCCCATCATTGTAGCATCTAAAAATATGTTAAAAGCATAGTTGTCATCTCTATTTTTCTTCTGTTTTAGTATGCAGTACTGTTAATCTGGGCCTTTGGTGTTCAGGTTGCACTTTCAGCACTCATCTTCACAAAGAAAGAGGAGGTATGGAAAGATCAGCCTTTTTTTTTTTTTTTTTTTTTGAAATCTAAAGAAAATTGAATATGTTAGATTTTTGAGAACTATAAGCCTATATTAAAAGCTAAAGGTAAATGTCTCTGGGGGTAAAAGGAGTCAATGAAACTACTAGAACTCTATACAGGAAGGGGCCAGGTGCAGATGGGAAGGGTGGGTTTGGGAACTTGGCTTTTACTCTGTTTGCAGAAGACTGAGAATGTATATATAATAAAGAATGTGGAGGTGGAGGAGAAGATGCTGAGTGTGGGAAATCCAAAATTGGCCACCCAGCCCTCCCTGGCTACCACTGCTGACCCAATCACTTTGCTATATTCTCTTCTATAAAGAAATATTTTCAACTTTTACTCATTTAAAATTTAATAATTTCATTAAGTAGATTGGAAAAAAAAGATAGACTGAATAATTCATGTATTTTGCACTGGTGTGGCCATGAGTAAGATAGTTAAATTAATTAGGTAAGTTCAAAATAACACATAATAAATTGCATGAAGAAACTTTTCATAACAAAACCTACCTATTACAGCCTAAGGTTACTTTCAATCCTTCAAGAAATGTCTGTTTCAGGTTAGTTGGGGCTGTCTTTGTATTAGGGGAATTGTCCTATAGTAAAAAAGAGCATGGACTTGAAGTCATACAGATTTGCATATGACTAGATATTTAATAGCCAGAAGCTTAGTCTTCATCTGTATCCTCTGGTTAATGCCTATTTACCTTACAGAGAAACTGACAATTTTCAAAGTTCCTGTCATAGAGTAGCTACTCAAGAGCCCTCTTCCTTCCCTTCATTAATTTTAAATGAGCTCTTGGTTAATTCCTTGCTTCCTGGCATTCAAATTGTCTCTATATGTAGGCACCTATGTACTAGTAATGACCAAACCCAACAAAATCTTCCTTTGGAACACCACTGCTTTCCACCTTTATTAGCTATCTTATACTTAGCATCTACCCTGGGTATCTAACCACCTAGGACCTGTTGTTAATGGCCTGGCATTTGTAACTAAAATTTCTTCTCTCTATATCCAAAATGTGCGTGTGTGTGTATACAGCAAGTAAGTTCTATAAAGCTGCTTTGGTGAAAAAGCATGTTTCCAACCCATAAGCTTCTAACTAGTGATAGAACTAGTGATAAAACCTGAATATAATACTTAAGAAACCTTAACACATATATATAGTGTATCACTGTCATCGATATTTACTTAAGTATTATTTACATACTTTTCTCTATCTACTTTAAGAATAATAAAAATCATCTATATATATATATATATATATATATACAAAAGGCTAATATGCAAAGTGTCCCCTTGGGAGTTCCACTGGGAGACCGGGAGTTCGATCGCTCACTATGACATGAGCTGTCCACCAGGGGGTGGTGCGAAATGAAGGGAGGTTCCTGCTGGAGCCGGAAGGCCCCGATCTGCCCTGATTGCCGGCCCTGCCTAGGGACCCTACCTGTACACGAATTTTGTGCACCAGACCTCTAGTTTAATAATAACTACCATGAGCCAGAGACTGTGATAAGCATGTTCTAGGCATTATATTATTGATCCTCATAGAGGTGCACTGTTAGTCCTACTTTCAAGTACAGGAATCTGAGGCTCTGAGAGGAGAAATACTTGCTTAAATATAATGTGGCCAAATGACAGCCGGGACTAGAACCCCTATTAACACATTGATTGCGGGTAGTTTTTATCGTGCACTAACAGGTGGCACGGGCCATTTTTGCTAAGTTTTTGCGCAAGTGGCAACGTTCAGTAAAATTACGCTAACTTTAGTTTACGTATTTATACCTTACCCGCATTCTACCGCTAGTCTATAAAAAACGTATTAATACGTGTCCTGCGCTCTACTACACTGGTAGAACGTATAAATACATAAAACGTATAAATATGTTTCCCGCATACAATGTGTTAACTCATCCCAGAGAAGAACAGCTTTGTTTACATTGATTTGTCTTCTACATTCAAAGTCAATTCAGCTTTTAGGAGCCTCTAAATCTCTTATGCTATTCACAATGCCTAATTCAGTGTTGGAGATGCACTAGGGCCTCACAGTATATATGTCAAATTAAATATGTGTGAGGGAATTTTATTTATATAGTAGTCACACAGTTTATTTAGGAAATTCACTTTACTCTTATGTACAAAGGTATGATTCATAAGTACTTTGGATCTCCCAAATAATGTTTAGAGGCTAAATGAGAACATGAATCTGTCCTCTCCTGGCAACACTATAGAATAGAAAACATCATTTTCTATTCTCAATAAAAGTTAACTTAGAGAATAAGTTAGATAACATATAGCTCTAAGTAACATTTTATGTTATTCTAATCTTCTTACATATATTAAAGCATAGATATATAAGTAACTGCATAAGTGTTTAACTTGTACAGATGTTTTAATTATTATAGTACTAGAGGCCCAGTGCATGAAATTCATGCATGGGGGGAGGGGGTGTCCCTCAGCCTAGCCTGCATCCTCTCTGATCTGAGACCTCTCAGGGGATGTCTGACTGCCAGTTTAGGCCCAATTCCATAAATCGGCAGGCAGATATCTCTCTCACAATCTGGGACTCCTGGCTCCCAACCGCTCACCTTCCTGCCTGCCTGATTGTCCCTAACTGCTTCTGCCTGCCAGCCTGATCACCCCCTAACCACTCCCCTGCCAGCCTGATCGATGCCTAACTGCTCCCCTGCTGGCCCAATTGCCCCCAAATGCCTTCCCCTGCCGACCCAGTCACCTCCAACTGCCCTCCCCTGAAGGCCTGGTCCCCACCAACTGCCCTCCCCTGCAGGCCTGGTTGCCCCCAACTGCCCTTGCCTACCAGCCTGGTCTCCCCCAACTGCCCTCCCCAGCAGGCCTGGTCACCCCTAACTGCCCTCCCCTGCAGGCCTGGTTGCCCCCAACTGCCCTCCCCTGCTGGCCTGGTCACCCCCAACTGCCCTCCCCTGCCAGCCTGGTCCCCCGCAACTGCCCTCCCCTGCCAGCTATCTGTGGCGACCATCTTGTGACCACATGGGGGTGGCCATCTTGTGTGAGGGCTTGTCGGTTAATTTGCAAATTACCTCTTTATTATATAGTATTCTCACCAGTTATTTAATTTTGATTATTCAAAGACAGCAAAATATAAGGAAATGTCACTAGACTAGAATTTAAATAAAACATATATACACATCTCAGCTCCTCTTCCTTATTCATGTAAACAAAGCAAATAATTAAATTCTCTAAGTATCTGTCTTCGTGTTCATAAAATGGGAATAGTATCTGTTCTTTTTAAGTTTGGGCATTTTTGAGGACCAAATTAGAGATTAGTTGTGAAAGTCATGAACTTTTGAATGCTTAAGTAAAACCAAATACATCAGTACTCACTGAGATTGTTAAAAATAGGTATAAGGAAGAAAAAAGCTTCTAGACATAAGCAAAAAACAAAAGGTAACTTTGAATACCCTTTTATGAAGAGACATAAGGAAAGTTCCCATCAAAATTTCACTTTTTATACAATTTTCAACAGGTTCACCAAGTATGGCATGATGAAATTGATTTAGTCATTTCTCAGTATGGATCTAAAGATGTGCCTGAAGACATATTTAAGTGGACTATCCTGAATGCTTTACAAAAAACAGTAAGACAAAATTAGCATAAAATAAAAATTAAATGTCAGAGGTGATCACTGTAGGATAGAGAGGAATAGAGGGAAGGGTAGAGGATAGGGACAGAGAAAGGAGACATTCTTTTATTTCTTCCAAAACAAATAGGGTATAATCGCGTTGTTTCCACATACAGATCTTAGTTGTCTCTTCCTTTTGTAACTTACAGCTCCTTTTCTGGGTTAAGTGATGTGCATTTTAACCTGGTTTCCCTAGGAAAGTGTTGGTGGTCTTTGCCAAGTAGGGTCATCAGTCCTCCTGCACCCTTGGGAGGTAAGTGTGAGCACAGTCCGAGCTGGCAGCAGAGTAGCATGACGGCCCCCATTTGAGCCTGCATGTTTGGATTACCACACAGTAGCTTTGTGTGTGATCCCGGGCAAGTAATTTTCTTAATTTCACATTTCATATTAGTAAAATGGGCAGAATAACTCCTACCCCTAGTGGCAGGAATAAATGAAGTAATAGAGAGACTATTTAGAAAGCCTTAGATCTGGAACATAGCAGGCAGCTAATATTTATTAGCTAATGTTGTTAGGGTTATTATTGAACAGTTCAGCTATTTCTGGGCAGTGAAGGGAATTGGTACGGTCAGCCAAATAATGTACAGGAAGAGATCAGCACCTGGAACATTTACATAGTACCAGTTCCTTTGGTAAGTGCTTTGCATGTATTAACTCACTTTATCCTCTCAACCAATGAGGTCAAACTATCATTCTCATTTTATAGATGGAGGACAGAGAGATTCAGGACCAAGCCAGCGTCACCCAGTCAATAAGTGGCAGAGCCAACATCCAGTCCCAGACAATCTAGCACTAGATTTTGTATTCTTAACTGCCACTTTAGATGCCTCACATAGAAATAGTTCATTATTTTTGGTACCTTTACTAAACAAAATGCATTTTAGGAGAATTGAAATGTAATTATAAATGTTTTATTCTGCATATGTTTTTTTTCTGATGTATGTGAATTGTAGAGGTATTCCATTTCCAGATTGCATTACAACCTTTTTTTTTTATGGTCATAAACTAATAAACGGTAAAACAAGTCTATGTATGACATTACTATCATTAATGAGAATCCAACTTAAAGTTCCTAACCATGAATATAATTGATATCTTGTATGTAGGTTTGATTGATTTAACTAACTTTTAATATCCAAGCTCTAAAGCACTATTATAGTCATTCAACATTCCCAAGTTCTTGTCAAAATTGTTGGTACATATTATGACATAGACAATACTGATGTTATAACTTTCAATAACAAGTTTAGAAAAACAATGAAATATTCACTTTAACCTCTGTTTTCTAGGTGTCAAATATATAAACTGATTTTTTTCACATCCTCCCAGCTCAATAGGATAGGAAATGAGACATTTATTAGATGTTTGATCATCTCTGTGACTATCTTCCTTATCACCTTTTTGGTTCTTTGTTGCAGTTTTTCACACAATACAAAATTGAAAGTTAACATCTCACATTTTAATCCTAAAGAAAGTAGATTAACCCTCTTTATGTATACTAAACATCTATGGCAGCATAGCGGGGATAAATATATAGAAAGATAATTGCTATAGTTAAGAAGAGGATTCTTTCTTCTATGTTCTGGCCCAAAACATGGTTGTAGATTTGGTCAATCAAGCATACCTTTCATTCTGGGCTCCTATAAATAAATTCAGATATAACAATTTCAGCCAAACATAGTCCACTTATCAAGTAAAGATCTTTACCTCTTGTTGACATCAACAGTAGCAGCAACAATATAATAGATTAAACAAACGTGTACTTATTTACTTAATTCTCTACATTTTAACAGAGAATAAATTTATCATGAAAACACTTTAATGTGCATGAGCATTATATAATTACCTGCATTTTGAATATTTTATGGTAAAATTCATAAAAATCTTTTTCCTAGTTGCAGTGTTGTGGCCAACACAATTACACAGATTGGATAACGAATGAGAATAAAGAAAATTCAGAACAGGTGCCATGTTCTTGCACGAATTCTACATTAAGAAAGTGGTTTTGTGATGAGCCACTGAATGCAACTTACTTAGAGGTAAAGATAAGTCAAAGCCGCTGCAAATATTTTACAGTGACTTTTTAAAAATTTTATTTTGCAAGTCAATTTATAATTCTGAGCCAATTTTTATATAAAGACAATGTTATTTCTGGTCGTTAGGTTCTTCAGTGACTTATCTAAATTGAACTCATATTTAGGTGATTGCAGTACTATCTCAGGTATATAATAAATAAGTAAACTTTCTGGGAGTATCGTATGTGATCTAAGTGCTACTAGAACTTGGGATGCCATCAACTTTTCTTCTCAACCTTCCTTCCCAAATCCTTGCAGAGGAAGGGGGCGCTATTGGCAACTCTCACTATTGGTCGGAGAGCTGCCATACCAGTATTAAAGAGTATGGAGATTGGCAGAAACTGAAGGGAGGGGATCCCAGCAATGACAAAAGTGGTATTCAGGTAAATTTGGCAGAATTGAGAGTACAGGTTCACCTGGAGCAGTGACTATTTACAGGTATGGAATATTGATGAACTAGAGATTTCCATCCCAAGAACTTCTAAAACTTTGTATAGTTTATTTACTAATGCCATTCTAATTTTAAGATGTATCTTTTAATTATATAATTTATTCATAAATATATAGAGGATTTAAAAAATTTTAAATATATTTTTATTGATTTCAGAGATGAAGGGAGAGGGAGAGAGTGATAGAAACACCAATGATGAGAGAGAATAATTGATTGGCTGCCTCCTACGAGCCCCACACTGGGGATAGAGCCTACAACCTGGGCATATGCCCACACCGGGAATCGAACAGGTGACCTTTTGACTCCAGGGCTGATGCTCAACCACTGAGCCACACCCGGCTGGGCTAGAGGATTTTTTGTGAAGCTTCTGCTATTTGGGTACTAATCATTTTAGGTGCTAGTTATATACCCTATTAAGTTAAAATTGTCTGCAGTTAAATCCCTCTAAAACAATAAATTTCTGATTTCAATTGCATGACAACATCTTAGTAACTTTAAAAGTAGCAAGCAAGGTGTCCTGTCATCACATGAAGCTCTCTGGATTAAAACATTGTCTCCAGTTAGACACTGACTTGTTTTTCAGACTTTACTAAATGTCTAATGTCTATGTCTCTTCTTATTGGTAATGGAATTATGTATAAAACTATGTCAATCTCCAAGTTAACTTAAGTGACTTTTTATTCCTTAGGGTTGTGAAAATAAAATCAACACATGGTATCAAGCTAATGCTTTATTATTAATTGGAATTAACTTTGGACTTTTGGTTTCAGAGGTAAGGTTTTGTTCCTGTGTTTAAATATAAAAATATTAAGTATAAATAATACAGAATAATCTATGGAACAAACAGCTGGAGACCTAATCAAACAAGTTAATCTAACAGTGGTTACAATTCCTCATGTTGGGACCGAACCATAAAATTTTTTTCGTTGCTACTTCATAACTGTAATGTTGCTACTGTTATGAATCGTAATGTAAAGATCTGATATGCAGGATGGACCCCTGTGAAAGGGTCGTTTGACCGCCAAAGGGGTCGCGACCCACAGGTTGAGAACCGCTGAATAGGAGCCAGGCTCTTGAGACTTTAGCACCAAGAGAGGGATTGGTCCAGCTGGAGGTGATATCCCTAAATCAGCTAAGTCAGTGGGGATTGTTAATAAGGAGTCATACTGGCCTGTATCCTATAATTTCACTGCTTTGTGATATTTAAAAAATAATAATTCCTATCTCAGCATCCAGAGCACCATGTTGGCAAGTTGGCAAACTTCTGAAATTTGGGCAGATGTTTGACATTAGTAAATCTATTCACTCATAGACTCATTCATTCATTCAGAAAATTTGGAGGGTGGTGAATATCTGCTGTCATTCAGATACTATATACTAGATGTTAGAGATACATCTATGTTGTGGAAGCAACATAGACATATTTCATGACCCAAAGGGTGCCAGCTACAGAGCTGAGATTCAGAAGCAAGACTGCATTTTCCAATCTCAGTGACAATTGATAAGAGCAAGTAAAGGCTATGGATTCAAGAAAACCGTAAGTGGACAGATTATTACAGTGCAGACTATAACATTGGAATCCTATCTAATAATAGCCAAGCATGGTAATTGACCGTACCTTCACTACACCTCCCATTGGCTAATCAGCGAGATATGCAAATTAACTGCCAACAAAGATGGCAGCTAATTTGCATACTGCAGGCAGGGCAGGACAGCGCAAGCCACCAGCACCAGCCGCCATCCAGGCCCCCGTGGGTAACAGCAGAAGCCGCCTGCCTGCTGCCCGGTACCGAATCCGGTCCCCGGACGCAGGCACACCGGCCCTGCAAGCCCCAGGAGCCGCCAGATATGGCAGTAACTCTATCAGTAAGCACTCTGAAAGTCAGTGGCATAAATGCACCAATTAAAAGACAGATTATGAGGGTGAATCAAAAACAAAACCCACTTTAAATATAAAGACACATATAGATTAAAAGTAAATGAATGAAGCTGCAACCTGTTTTGCTCAGTGGATAGAGCATTAGCCCTTGGACTGAAGGGTCCCAGGTTAGATTCCAGTCAAGGAATCCATGGGTTGTGCATATATTTTCTTTGGCTAATCCCTTCTTTAAATTCACTTCTTTAAATTTTTATTTTCAGATAAATGCTTATAACTGCACTATTATATATTTTCTATTATATCATTTAGAATTTAGATTTTTTTAATTGAACCCTTGTAAATTTAGCACAATTTAATAAATTATGCTAGAAGCAATTAGGAAATTTTTCATGTAATGCAGATACATTTCAATCAATATTTTATTAATTTTTATTTTTTGAATATTTTAATATTAGCCCTTCAGTCCAAGGGCTAATGCTCTATCCACTGAGCAAAACAGGCTGCAGCTTAATTCATTTACTTTTAATCTATATGTGTCTTTATTTTTAAAGTGGGTTTTGTTTTTGATTCACCCTCATAATCTGTCTTTTAATTGGTGCATTTATGCCACTGACTTTCAGAGTGCTTACTGATAGAGTTACTGCCATATCTGGCAGTTGCTGGCTTGATTCCCCAGTTCCTATCAGAGCATGTGCAGGAGGCAACCAATCAATGTGTCTCTCCCTTTCCCTTCACTCTCTCTAAAATTCAATGGAAAAATATACTTGGGTGAAGATTAACAAAAACAAAGTAAATGGATTAAATAACATTAAAGAAATTATAAGAAAAATATATTCCAAATTTTGTTAGTTGTATAATGGTTATGTTTAAATTATTAACACCTAAGAAATTGGGTGAAGGGTACATATAATATGCTGTAGTATTTTATAGTTTTTTTTATATGTGTGAGATTATTTCAAATTAAAATATTAAAAAAATAAAATTAATAAAATATTAATTGAAATGTATCTGCATTACATGAAAAATCTCCTAATTGCTTCTAGCATAATTTATTAAATTGTGCTAAAATTTACAAGGGTTCAATTAAAAAATCTTAATTCTAAATGATATAATAGAAAATATATAATAGTGCAGTTATAAGCACTTATCTGAAAATAAAAATTTAAAGAAGTGAATTTAAAGAAGGGATTAGCCAAAGAAAATATATGCACAACCCATGGACACAGACAACAGTATGGTGATGGCCAGAGAGAAGTGGAGGGCAAGAGCTGGGTAGAAGGGGCAAAAGGGGGGAAATATATAATAATATATTATTATATAATATATATAATATATATGTTTATATATATTAAATATATAATAATAAAGGGGGGACATCCTATATAATAATGATAAAAGTCTAATATGCAAATTGACTGAACGGCAGCATGGCCAGTTGCTATGATGTTCACTGGCCACCAGGGGGCAGATGCTCAGTGCAGGAGCTGCTCCCTGGTGGTCAGTGCACTTCCATATGGGGAGTGCCACTCAGCCAGAAGCTGGCTCATGGCTGGCCAGTGCAAAGGTGGTGGCAGGAGCCTCTCCCACCTCCGTGGCAGCACTAAGAGTGTCCAGCTAATGGTTTAGGCCCAATCCCTTGAGGCCTAAGCCTTTAGTCAGACATCCCCGAGGGCTCCCTGGCTGCCAGAAGGATGTCTGACTGCAAGCTTAGGCCTGATCCCCCGGGGAGTGGGCGTAAGTCAACAGGTGGACATCCCCCAAGGGGTCCTGGACTGCAAATGGGCGCCGGCTGGGCTGAGGGACGCCTCCCCACGAGTGCACAAATTTTTGTGCACCGGGCCTCTAGTGAATATATAAATGCACAGTTTGGCCAAAGTAGGATGACAGGTTTAATCTCCGAATGATGATAAACCAAGAAATTCTTAAAAGCATTAGCATAGTTATTTTGAAATGCTTTTGTGTCCAAGCTGAGGAGTGTAAGGAAAGACTGGGGCGGGGGGGGGGGGGGAGTGGTGGTATCTGTGTTCCATTTACTACCTACCTTTTACACACTACTTTTCATAATCCTGTGCCAAAAAGAGGCAGTTTTGTAAGATTAATGATATGGTTAGAAAGATGAACAAAGAACGGATCAGCAATTCATCAAGGCCGCTAGCCCAATGATAGCCCATGTAATTAAAATTTAACAGTCTGTTCATTCTAGTTTCCTCTATAAATGAACCTGGTGACACGAGGTTACTCTAGAAGACTCTTTCTGCAGACTTCTCTTTCACAACCATATGTACCTTATGCTGAAATTTCTCACCCTATTTCATCTTTTTTCCCTTTACAGTATGCATGTTAGTGATTACACAGTAAATACTAACATTATAAATTATTCTTATTGATTACATTTTGATCTGCTATTGTTTCCTTTTCTTCCAGGTTTTGCAAATCTCATTAACTGTCTCTTTCTTCAGACATATCAAGAACAGAATATTTGCAGAAATGTGATCTTTGGATTTTAATTTGTCTGGAAGAAACCAGTTAGTTCGCAAAATAATCACAATGTATTCTTTTATCCCAAAAAGTTTCTCAATTACATTAATGAAGTTTAGGAGTCATTGAAGTCATTGGTTATATGTAACATAAAATTTTTGGAATTATAATACATCACTTCATGAACTTTTTATTTGGCTTTTCAACATATCAAATATTTCAAAATATCAAAATATTCTGCAGTTTAGAACTTTACCTTGAGTTATTTTCTGAATTCAGGGGATATCACGAATATTAAAATCAAAATGTAGTTAAATATTATGATATATTTTGAGTTTCTTATATAGAAAATATTAATTAAGTAATTATAGCATGTACCTTACATTTGCAAATTTTAAGAAAATGATGCTGATTTATAGAAAATTTAAAAGGAAGATTGAAAATCTTCATGATACATCTCTACTGAACTAATCATTTATTCTGATAATGCTTACAAATTAATAATAAACTTAAAATTTTAGAGATTTGGATATATTTTGGTGGTAATAATATCATATTAAAATAACAATGATTTTTTAACTGTGGTAGAAAAAAATCTATTCTGAATGACCACTGAATTCCAATACTTTTTACTTGCTCGTCATTTGCTTCTCTTTTTCCTTAAATTTTGTTCAATGTGTGTGTGCACAATTCCCTGGAGGAAACAAAAATAACCTAGTTTTCTATTTTCTTAAAAATGATAGTGTGAGAACAAAAAACAGTGTTTTGAAAAATAAAAATAACTACTATAAAGATGTGAGCTGTTTTTATATCATTGTTGTCCTTTATAGCAAAAGGCTGTCTTGACCTTGAGAAAATGAAGAAAGGATAGAGTAACTGAAGATCCTACATTGCTCCACCCCTTTATTTTTTTTTTTTAAATTTATTTTATTGATTTTTTACAGAGAGGAAGGGAGAGGGATAGAGAGTTAGAAACATCGATGAGAGAGAACCATCCATCAGCTGCCTCCTGCAAACCCCCTACTGGGGATGTGCCCGCAACCAAGGCACATGCCCTTGACCGGAATCGAACCTGGGACCCTTCAGTCCGCAGGCCAATGCTCTATCCACTGAGCCAAACCGGTCAGGGCTCCACCCCTTTAGAAGTCTCACACTCATCTACTAATTCAATCACATCTGTTTTCATCTATATGTTCAGTACATTGAAGGTTTTAGAGACCTGTAGAACTGTTTTTTTTATTTTATTGATTTTTTACAGAGAGGAAGAGAGAGGGATAGAGAGTTAGAAATATCGATGAGAGAGAAACATCGATCAGCTGCCTCCTGCACACCTCCTACTGGGGATGTGCCTGCAACCAAGGTACGTGCCCTTGACCGGAATCGAACCTGGGACCTTCAGTTCACAGGCCAAAAGCTCTATCCACTGAGCCAAACCAGTTAGGGCCCTGTAGAAATTTCTTAAGTCAGCAAAAAAGAAAATAGAATTACCATTTTCTCAAAGTGACTTGCAAATAGACATGCCTTATATTCTTTAAGGAAAATTATCTTGGGATTTAAAGCTCATTTTCAAATTCTTATTTTCTTTAAAACATTAACATTGACAGCAAAAATCTGTCTCCTACTTGGGAGTTGAAAGTGGACTTACTGGTAGTCACATCAATGTTATAGATTTGATTACATAGATTTGATTTTGCATCAAGGAAACAAAAAGGGTTCTCTTGATTCCAAATTGCCTATTTTAAGTGCATACAGTTAATTCACAAAATACATGCACCACTGATTGAATCTATCACCTTTATGGTTGTATGGAATATTGTCTTGAAAGACAATGCTTTACACCATGAATAAAATAAAGACTTGTTTGATAATGTAAAATAGAGTAGATCAGGATCATCTGTCTCTAACTTGCTTTTTAAAAAATTTTTGAAATAGAAAACTAATAAGTTCTGAAAATCAACCTGGACCAGAAGTGAACCATTTAATTTTGTTTGAATTGAGGGCAACAATGGCTCCTTACTTCCCCTTCTGATTTTCATATCACTCACAAAAACACATTTAACTGGCTTCAGTCTCCTCATCTGCATTATGTTTTCAAAATTTAGAGTGATTTTGTGATGATACTAGGAAAGTGAAATACTTTAAAATTCTTCTAGATAAGGACTTGTGTATTCAGTCAACAAGCATTTATGCAGCACCTACTCTGTGCAAGGAGCATTACTCCCTGTTAGGATATGAAGATGGAGGGACACATAAGTAATTCCATCACAGGGCTGGCTTTAGGGGTATACAGCCTGTCCTAAGAAGAGCTCCACACTTGGTTTAGTACTTGGCAGTTCCCAACTTGACATTTTAATAATTTTGGAACAAAAGATGTCACATTTATATTTTGCACTGGGTTCTGTGATTCGTTTGCTGGCCCTGTCCCTATAGTTAAACTCACACAGTCTGACATGAAAAAATGTTTTATATATGTGATATTCTTTCTAAACACGCAGAAAGAGTATGCCTAAGTATGCCTTAGAGCAGTGGTTCTCAACCTTGGCTGCACATTAGAATCACCTGGGAATCTTTTTTAAAATCCTGATTTCTGGGCCTCATCCTCTGGAAATTCTGTTTCTTTGTTATGGGGTGGGGCCACAACATTAGTAACAAAGAAACAAAATTTCTGGAGGATGAGGCCCAGAAATCAGGATTTTAAAATGATTCCCGGGTGATTCTAATGTGCAGCCAAGGTTGAGAACCACTGCCTTAGAGGATCAGAGAATGTTTCAAAAAAGGAGAGCCATTCATTCAACAATTATTGAGTGACTGCTACGTGTTGAGCACTTTTCTAGGTGCTAGAGAAACAATAGTGAATAAAACAAGATGAAAGAAAAATTGCCCTCATGGGGATTACATTCAAGTCAGGGCAGTCAAACAACAAACCTAATATATCAGATGATGGGAAGAGCTATAGAGGAAAAAGTTAGGAAGTAGAATAAAATATCTTATGGGACTAAGAGGATTGTAGTTTTAAATAGGATGTGCAAAGAAGGAAGCACAGAGAAAATGACTTTTGAGTAGAGATGCCGGAAGCCGGTCCATCCTTGCTGCTTGACACAGTCGCTGCAGGAAAGAAACATCTGCACAGCATATGTTTCAAGGGACCTGGCGTATATAGCATACTGTTCTTAATATGTTTGCTCCCCTTAGCGCTGTGTGTTTTAACCAAGGTCACCTCTCCAAGAAAGGTTGTTTCCCCAGGTAGGAATTTTTCCCTGAAGTCAGGGAGGGGATGCCTCTCCTAGAAAGGTTGTTTCCCCAGGTAGGAATTTTTCCCTGAAGTCAGGGAGGGGATGAAACTCCTTAACTAAGTGCCAGGCGGGTAGTTAATCACTACAAACAGTCATGCTTAAGCTACATAATCTTTACTCCCTGGAATGGAGATAAGAAACGCCCTAACCTTTGTAATAGAAATTGACAGGATTAAAATCAACTGGTATAAATACGGATGTAACAAGACAATAAACAGCAGAACTTCGCTGGAGATCCAGACCAGAACTTGGCTGGAGATCCTGGCTGGAGATCCTGGCTAGGCTGCTGATCAACTGAACACTGTCTCCGTGTCCTTCCTTCTTCGCCGACTCCGTCTACACCTTTGGGGACCCCTGGACCTGCTGGGGTTGGACCCCGGCATAGAGAAACAAAGGCAATGACAGAATAAAAGGAAAGTACACTGTAAGCAAGAGGAAACAGCAATTAGGAAGGAAGAAAGGACCAGAGACAACAGTATACATGTTGACTTCAAGGAAGGGTGAGGAAACCAGTGTGGCTAGACTAGAGTGAAGTAGGGTTGGGTACTGGGAGGCTGAGATGAAAAGTCCAGTGGGAGGGGAAAGGCCTGGTAGGCTCTTGTCAGCCACTCTCAAGGCTTTTGTTTTTACTGAGTGAAATGAGAAGCAATTGGCAGGTTTTGTACCAGTGGCAAGATTGCGCAGGGCTTGTAGGCACAATCTTGCTGCCATGAGACTTAAAAAAGCTACAAGTGTGGAAGCAGGGAAAACAGATTGGTTTTTATTTAATAATCTAGATAAGAAAGATAGTAGGTTTGGCCAGAGAGTAGAGGTGGAGTTGGTGAGAAGTGATCTGATTCTATATATGATTTTTGGTGCAGTCATCAGAATTTGCCAATAGTTTGAGTGTAGAGATATAAGAGAAAAGGGGGAGTTGAAGATGACTTAGTAACTGGATGGATGGAGTCACTTCTTATGGATATGGGACAGAATTTGGGAGAAGCAAAGAATTTCAAGTTAACACTTAAAGTTTCAAAAATCCTACTGTAGCGGTCTGTTATGTGTCTGTACCCCCCACTAGTCTGTAAAAAAACTCAAAGTTAAGGATATTTTGAATCGTCTTTGCAACTCCAAAGCTTTGCTCAGTACTTGACAATATAGGTGGCCAACAGATGCTAATTAACTTTAAGTCAGATTACTCAGTAGGCCACCAGATAAAACCCATTGCCCTCTTAGGTTGCCTGATGCTGACTGTGCTCAATGGTTTTGATTTCATGAGGCTATCATGAATATAAACGGTCCAAACTTGTTTGGTAATTAGTAGCTGCTAAATCAATAACTCACTGCCACCCACATCTTCTTTCTCCAGGAACCTCAATGAGGGATGTTGGCAAAGTAAAAACATGAAAAGGATCTCAATGAAACAATTTTAAAAATAATATTACAATGAAAATAGGGTCAGACAGTCCTAAGTGTTTAATGTTTACAATATTTGTTAAGTATTTGTATATTTTGTTAAGTGCTTGTATACTTTTATTTCCTTTATCTGATCTTAGAGGGGTAATTCTTCAGAGACATAATGATGGCATTACAATTTTTTTTTTTAAGTCCTCACCCGAGGATATTTTTTTATTGATTTTTAGAGAGAGTAGAAGGGAGGGGGAGAGACAGAGAGAGAGAGAAACATCGATGTGAGACACATTGATTGGTTGCTTCCCGCTTGAGCCTCAACCAGGGCTGAAG